CTGATGCAAATTGCAGCACTGTGCCATAATATCCACCTAGATATAACTTAGGTTATATATCTGCACAGTCAGCACATTGCAATCTTACCTGGCCTGTCTTCAACATTTCCTTGATCCAGAAGGAATTGCAGCAGTTCTTCATTTCCATGGTACACAACCAGCTGAGGGCATTGCCAAATTTGGTGTCAGCAGTCCATAGGTTGGGATCAGCCCCTTTCCGGATTAAACGTCCAAGTTCCTCCACAACTGGTGTCGCCTGACACTCGCGTTGAAGTAATGCCTCAAACTGCTCCTGAACACCTGCTAGCTTTTCTCGGATTTTTGCAATGCACCCCAAGCATCACGGAGTGGAATAATGAGGAGCAAGAGTGCAAGTACTTGTCCGAACCCCCATTCATTGTCAGTATTTTGAGTGCCCTTGTTATGATGCAGGGTAAGTTCAATATCCAAGATAAAGAGGACATTGATAGCAACAAGAGATACTAGGCCAACAATGAGAAAAGCAGTACAAGGGAGGGGGTTGGTGGAAGCTGAGTTTGGACCATTTGCAGCTTGACCCACTGGATATGGGAGAGATAAGCTCTGGTGATGCCACTCCCATTATAAAACTCACCTAGGGAGGAGCGGTCAGGCTGCAGCTCAATATCTGATGATGCTGGGCTGTTGTTGTACCCAACATTTTTAGAATTGACAGTAGAGCCTTGTCCCATGATTTCCAGAACAACTGGTGTCGCTCCCGGGACCAGTTATATGAGATATGAAGAGTGAGGAAGAAAGTGAAGGAGGAATGAGGTTGAGTCCAGGGACAAGAACGAGAGAATACATTGCCAATGACACAATGCGCAGTGGTTTTGATAAAAAACGTGTGGGCACTCCAACGACTGTAAGTGCTGGATCACAGTTGATCTGCTGGCCGAAGTTGGATGGATCGCTCCAAAGCCAGATTCCAACGGCGGCCATAAGGGAAAGGTGGATGGAACCGAGGGTCAGGACAGGCTGCCTGGAGATAAAATGCCAGATGCGGTGGACAATGCTACAAATGCGCTGAAAAATACTGTCACCACCAGTTCCCTCCTGCCCCTGCAGCAGCTCCGCGAGAGGTGCGAAAAGAGTGTTGTGCCAATGACTCCAGTTCGCTTGAATTGGTTCATCGCCTTTGGTTCGATGTGGACATAGAGAATAAACCAAATCCACGTGCTAGTGTTATTCATCCAGCTAAGATCCAGGACCACGGCAGCATGATAATTAGTGATGCTTTGGTCGCCTCCAGCGCCTTTAGCCAGGATGATGGTGGTGAGGAGGATGGCGAATGCGACGGCTAGCATGCCGATGGATTGGTCTTTGATGCCCTTTAGCTCGTCTTTAGATATCTTTCTATCCAAAGATGCACGATGACTGGTAAGAAGCATAGAAGACTTTGAGCGTAGATGGCTGCACGAACGCCAACGCCAGAGACGTCTGGGTTGGGGGGGATAATGCTGCATTCGACGGCCATGGTGGTGGAAACGTAGAGTACCGGACCAAAGCACGCCGCCGCTGCATGTCCGCTGCCAGTCATTTAACTCGATAACGAGTAACTTACCTCCAGGTTTCACACTGCCTCTCAGAAATATCGCCTTGCGGAAGCGGAGGGGTGTCAGAATCGTATGTCTTCTTTAGTTGGCGACGTTTGCCATTGGTCCACCGTTCCCTTTGCTCTGGCGCCGGCCCACATGCCACCGCCACAGCGCATGCTGGAATTTCCAGTCCTTCGCTCGCCATCACAAGGCCCCTGCCTGTCATCCCAGGCAACATTTCCTCTGTTTTGACGTTGCCTTGATCTACCGTGTACGGCATGTCCTCCCTTGTCCCTTACTTTCTCTAGTTAGATTCTCCGCACCAAGCTATATTTCGAGTTGTATAAGTAGTACTAATTGTCGAATGAATCAGGGTCTTGTGGCAATTCCCGAGTAAAGGCCATGGTTGTCTTTATCTCAACATGTTGAATGTCAAATAACGCCGCCGCCGCATTTCCGCTGTCATGTTATTCGATCGGTTGTTGAACCAGATGTCAATAACGAAAAACTTGCCTTCAGGCTTGGTGCTCTTCGTGCTGTCCCTCAGAAATGGCACCTGGTGGAAGCTGGCGAGTCCATCGCCCCCTTCTTTACGTTATGCAGGCGAATTTCTCAATGAAGTGTTATTAAATAACGGGTGCTATCTGCATTTCGTCCACGGAAGCTTGATTACATCGTCATACTTCCTCCGTTTAGTTCAGCCTCATTCAAATCGCCATTCGCCTGGCGGTTTGGAGATTGAACACGCTGTAGGCGGGCAGAATGGTTGGATGGTAGCCTGAAGCCCGGAGATCCTGCGGTATTGCTGCGCAAAGGATCGAATAGCGATGGCGAAGGACAAGCTAGTGTATGACAGGAGTAATCCTACTACAGCCAAACATGTGCATACAGAGAGAGGCTCGAGTCCTCGACCAGCCCACCCTACTACAACGCTGTGATTGCTGCATGCGAGCAAACCAGATCTGAGATCTCGAAGATGCGTCCTTTGCTCGGAAACTCATATCGATCATTTATGCATGGGGCAGCGCGCCAGTGTAGAATCGCACTTGTGTAGGCGCAGATTTCTATTACAATAAAGGAGTTAGACTGAAAATTATCGAGAGAGCTCTGATCCGAGACAACTTAAAAAAAGATCGCTCAACGCGCATGCGCAGGTAAGGAATCCAACCCCTGTCTGCGATTGACATATGGTTAACAAAAGATGGACGATTCACTACCGGAACATTCCAGTTATCTTCCTGCCCATGCTCCTCAGTAAGTAGGTGGAGTCATCTTTCTATGCCCCGAGCTTCTAGGTGGATAAATTTCGGATGAATGACCAATTCTTTCATCTGGCGAGGTGAAGTTCAAGGACCCGCACTCGGACTATACGACTTGCTAGAATGTACTCAACCCTCTCAACTCAATAAAAAACTCCCGGCCATCAATATGCACAGGCGGGGAATCGAACCCAGTCCTGCCGTTGATGACGCACCTCGGAACAAACCACTCTCTCGGAGTGGACCATCCACTACCGGTGCTTCGTGTATATCCTCGAGACACTTTGGGCGAGGGGGATTTTCCTGAGCCTACATTACAGTTGTACTGAGCAATTTCAGCGTCTGTAAATCCAACTATTTCCGAACCACCCCGTCGCTGGATGTGGATATAGATGCCAGTGAACCCCAATATAACAGATCCTGGAATCGTTGCTGCCCACGGAAGTCTTAAAAAGAGAAAGACAGAAAGAATTAGAGGGGTTGTGCCAAGCGGCATGCCGCTTTTGGGCATTGTGCAAAAGCAGCATGCCGCTTTTTAAAAAGTCATCAAATTTCAACACCTCAATGCTATTACACAGTCGTAATGGCCTCCAGAGGAAGAAGAAGAAAAACGGCATGCCGCTTTTGGCACAATCAAAAAGCGGCATGCCGCTTTGGCACAACCCCTCTATTACCGGCCCTCCAAGGCATGCACAGGCCGGGAATTAAACCCACTCCGCCGTGGACGTCAACATTATGTAACTACTCTCTCGCCAGGCGAACCAATTGTTGTGATAGAATAAATTATACTGGTGGTCACTTTCGGACCCTCTCTAATGTTTGCCAAAAACTGGATGTAAAAGGGACATTCAAGTGCTCCCACTGTTAAAAAGCAAACTAAAGAGAACACGGAACCACGAAGACATTCCCTTCCGCCGAACAAATAACAAAAAACAGGCCGCAAACGCATGCACAGACGGGGAATCGAAGCCCATTCGGCCGTCGACGTTGAAACTGATAGAGCTATTCTCCCAGCGTGTGTACCATACACAACCTTTGCGTTTCTAAAATCTATCTGTCTTCATGGCCACATGCCGTAAATGCGCGAATTCAAATCCGACCCACTGTTGTTTCGAGATAGATGATTTCAAATTCAATTCTTCCGAAATTTCGTCAAGGTTCGGATGTGAAGCTGCCTTAGATGACTCCGACTCAGCCAGTCGAAATTAAATGCGACCTTGGATGTACGGGACCCGAAGTGAAAACGGACCCAATATTCATCGCTCAAAAGCTTCGAAAAAAGAGCACATGCGTCCATGAAATATACGAGCAGCGAGTAATGGGACCCCACCGTTAACGCTGTTGCACTCAACTCTTCCGGGGGTAGTTTACCATCCGCCACCGGTGCTTTCTGCATCTCTTACGGACCCGTCACATGGGAGAGTGCCTCAGCCCCAATCCACCGGCTTATTTGGATGTCTTTCGGGCGATATTTAATTCGATCCTCTCCGAACATTTAGGCGTAATAAAGGATTTGAACTGTTGAAGAGAATCCACTGAAAATAAGTTCGTCATCTGAATTTGAAGCAACATGCACAAGTGGGGAATCGAACCCTACCCCGCCGTTACAAGATGATTGCGCAATTCTGCCGGCGGTGTACTGGTCGCTACCGGTGCCTTCCGTGTCTCCTACAGATAGGGAATTTAAGTCTTCCTGAGACCCAAGTCATAGTTGTACTGACAAATTTCAGCTGCTGTTCAATTTCAATTTCGATTCTTTCCGCTTCCGTGCTCGGGGATGTAAAGGACTTGAGGTGTTAAAGGTAGAAGACAGAGGGAGTCCTCCCCGTTCGGAAAAAATAATAATCGGAAGCGCCTACTTGAATTGTATGCACAGGCGGGGAATCGAACCCCAGTCAGCGGCTAACGCTGCAAGAATTCTAAATTCTCTCGGCGTGTGTGCCATACAGCAGTGCGTTCTATGTTCACTCTGGAGCCCTCAGATGTAGCAGTGTCTCAGCTCGAATCCACCGTTTTATTTGGATGTTTCTCGGATGAAGTTCAATTTAAATTAATTTATATCCCTCACACCACTGTAGTAGCCACAGTAGATAATCCGTTCTTCAGCTGCCATAAATTGACGCGGCTCTCCTTCATCGCTCCCCTCTCGATCACAAAAAGAAAAATGGTCTTTCCACAGATGGCATGCACCGACGGGGAATCGAACCCCACTCCACCATCGAAATATCGAAACATTCTACACATTCTTTCGGCGGGTGTGTACCATTCACTACCGGTGCGTTCTGTGTCTGCTTTATGTAGATGTTTGAGAGGGGCGTCCACCGTTGTAATTCCATAAGTTTCAGCCACTATCACGGTTCATGTTCAATTCTTTCAGGCCTTCCGTGAATTTTGATGTAAAGAACTTGCGGTTTGATCAAAGATGCGAAACCCGCTGGTGGTGTACACTCATCCTCCCCGAACATGCAGACTTCGGAAGAAACTTAGTTGAACAAACACAACCGGTGACGGCAATCACGACGTGGCGATACAGCTTTCTCATCGTCAAATCATCATCCATGTCCTCGTTCTCTGCGTTTAGCAAGCACCCCTCTTTGCTTTCCACTCTTCGCACTTTGTCATAGCCAGTACTTGAGCAACTCCAAGTATGTCTGTCGCGCGCAGCTCGTCTCTTGTCCCGTTCCACAGGAGGCCTTTTACAGCCTAGCCATCAGCAAGGCACACACACGGCGCTGTGGATCTATACAGTAAGTCAGTTTTTCTTTTGGCGTGCATTTGAGTTGCGTCACTCTCTCTCGCCACCCTGTTCACTCTTTTTGCTCTCTTGTTCTGTGATCGATGCTAATATGACTTAGTCACTTCACCACAACAGCCCCGTCCCACCTGTTCGGCGTACCAAGCTAAAATGTGCTCGCGGCAGCAGCGCACCATTCATCCCGCTTCCCCGTGAAAAATCTGCCTCTACCACTACAGGCGGCTCAGAGATGATTTATCTACCGCAACTTGAGGTCGTATGTCTTCTTGTTCTCAGCGCCCCACCATTTGCTGAAGTCCGCCTCTGCACCGTCGAACGCAAGCTCCCGAAGCCCGTCGCCCAACCGCACCGGAAAAACTTGAAGTGGCGCTACCACAAGCAAGGCAGTTGTGCCACAATCAAGGAGCGCGAAGACGAACCACGCTGCCTAAACCTCTCACTGCACTGCTGCGCATCACTCGCATCTTCATCTTCTCATCCTCCTCCCCATCAGGTGCCCTAGCCATGCTGGGGATACACTGTCTCCTCTCAATCCGCCTCTCTGCACTGGAAGTTCAGCCCCACCAAAGCCGGCAGAAGGATGAAGAAACCAGACGCTGCTGGGTCATTTCTGTCGGGAGAGCAAGATGCATCGCATTCGGGCGGTCAGAGCGAGACGAGGGTAGGTTGGGAGTGGGGAGGGTGGTGCGTGCAAGTAAGTTTTTTTTGCTCCTCCTCTTTTTTTTTTTTTTTTTTTTTTTTTTTTTGCTCCACTTTCTCGAGACTTGTTCCATCGCATACGTTCGAGTGCGCATTCACATGCCCTCCTCTTTCTGCGATCCCCTTTCGTCCTCCACTTATCATCCCCTCTTCCCCTCTCTTCCTTCTATCCTACTCCCTTTCAACCGGCACGCACATCCTTTCCTTTATTCTTGTCCCTTCTTCTCCTACCCATCTATCCTCACAAATGCATCTTGCGTACTGCTGGGCCTCTTTTCTTGTGGGCGGTTTCTTTTCTTCATCACCACTCTTCTATTACGACCTCTCTCCCTGTTCTTCTTGTCCCATCTACGCTCTCTTCTCTTCTCTCTCCGTCCCTGCTCTTGCCCATCAAGTTTGCGCATACCAACGTGCTTCACAGCCAATCCACATGTCGGAACCTCGCATGCACATTCCCACCCCCACTGTCTTGCACCGCCGCCCGGGCAACACGCAAGCACAGTTGAATCAAGGATTAAGAGCGCAGTGCGAAAAGTGCTTGGGAGCGTAGAGGAGGGGGATGCGGAGATAGACTGATGGAAGCATTGCCTCCGATGCAGATGCAGCGCGATGAACAAGCACAGTGCTGGGGTGCATACAGAGCATGGATGGGTAAGATCGCGGGTTGGAGAGAGCACATCGGCGTAGCCGCCCTTGCAAGGCATGTGCACGTCGCCTGCACAATTGCCTACGTACTGAGCGAGTGGGATACAGGAGCGCAGCACTGGTGCACACGTGCAAGGCAGGGAGAGAGGTGGGAGCGTGAGAGGGAGGGAGCATGTTGGCACGCATTGCATGCACAGTCACTCTCCATACAGATGGAGAGCGTGGAGTAGGATAGAGCGGGCTTGGTCGCCTCCTGGTGCTTGGATGCGCGTCGCCGAGTGTGGTGCACATGCAGGGCTGCCGGCACGAGTGTGAGATGGAGAGGGTGACGACGGCAATGGGGTGCGAGTGTCGGCGATCGTGATGGGTGTCTTCAATCTTCAGATTCTTTCCCCATTGTGCTTTACAATCAAGGCTGTGCTGGAGTCTGGCCCCAATTTTATTTTCTTTCAATTTTATTGGCTTGAATCATTCATTATTTACTTCCGCTGACTTCTCGCTTTGTCCTGGAACCATTGTACAGCTTCCAATTCAATTCAAACTCGCATCCGCCTCAATCCCAAGTTGCACCACATGATAAGTAAAGGATTTTTTTTCGAGCCCTTGCATTTCCAAGATTCACCAACTCTTAGGCTCTACGGTGCTGCAGCCCCGAATTCCCATGAGTTCGCTCAACTTCGACGAGGAAAATTAATCAATTTAATCCTATGGAATCTTTCGCCCTTCCCGACTTGGCGTATTTAAAATAATTTTCAGGTTGAAGTTGAAATTCATGGGTGATTTCGCGCTTTCTTCGAGTTGTCCCGTCATATTTCTAACTCTGCTTCATTTTTGAATTTTCACCTGAGTTGGAAATTTCCAGGCTTGTGGTGCGATCTAACATGCTTCAGCGTCTCCGTCTTCCTCTGTGTCAGACGCCCGAACATGCAGGTGAGCAATGCCGCTGTCAGGCACAGCCTCAAATATCTGCCGTTCAGTCTCAACGTCTGCACCATCCTCCACAGTCACTAGCAGCCCATGCATGAGGACCGTTCCGGCCGTCCCGTGCAAATCACTCACCTCAAGGGTCTCCATTGGCCCATGCCGCCCAGTGGGGTAGACCCAGAAAATGATGCCCCGTGTGAGCTTGCTTAGAAACAGTTGAAGCTGTCATCAAAACACCTTTCTCGAGGCAGAGACTTGAACACTCTGCACCTTCCCTCACATGTCCGGCGCTGAAGATGCGCAGATATCTTTTGATGGCGCTTTCTTCGCCGTCCTCGCTGGGGTAGTTCGAGAGATCCCAAAACAAACTTGAAGCGGCGCTCCTCTTCCGATGTGGCCTGGCATGGCACCTATCCCAAGGTTGCCGCTTTTGTGGTATCTACACTGTTCTGCTTCCGGATTATTCTGTTCTTTCTTCAGGTTTTCCAGCGGGAGACCACCAATTTGATGAGCCAAATCTTGGGCAGCCCCACAACATACAGATGATTCGGGATTTTCGACATACCTCAAAGCCCCATCAGTTTTCGTGGGGACCTTCACAGCTCAAGATGCACAGAGTTCCATATTCGGTGTGATCTCATCGAGGGCACCTGATGTGAGAATGTTCACCAGCACGGTGCTCGCTGCCGTGCTTGTATAAATGGAGGTCCACGGAACGTCTGCTGGGATGAGGAGACTAGGCATGTGTGATTCCCTTGTGCAAGTGAGAGGAGAAATGGTAGGTCCTCCCGAGAACACAGCCTCGATGACTCGGACTGACATGGGATTTTCCCAGCCTGTTGATCTGGTGCTACATGATGATACACAGTCATCAGCTTCTAAATTGCTATTTCAGTGCAATCAAAGCATAAAGCTTGCTGTAAAGCCTCCTGTCCAATCAGTGAGCCATTCTTCCAACCATGCCCTTTGCCTCTCTGGTGTACTTATGTGCGAAGGCGTTGTAAACTGATGTATTTTAGCCGATGTTGAGTTTCAAACTTTTTGTCAAAATGTGAGTCTTTGTGAAGAACCCCATGTAAACTTACAATAAAGGGCTCCGACTGTGAAAGTTATCAAGAGAGCTCTGTTTTGTCCCTTCCTCCGAGAAAACCCCCAAAGATCGCTCAAACCGCATGTAGGGAATTGAACCCCCTGTTCAATAGTTCGAGTGGGGGAATCTAAGTTTCCTGAGACCCAAATCACAGTTGTATTGACAAATTTCAGCTGCTGTTAATTGAAAGGACGCCGGCAATGCGTCCTCACTGATTCAGACAGAAAGACAGGAACAGTGATCTAGATTGTTGTAGTGTAAGTGAAAGACAAGATAGGAATACATTTAAAAAAAATAGTAACCTAGATTGTCGTAGTGTAAGTGAAAGACAAGATAAACAAGTACAACCAATGGGAAAGGTTTAAATACTGGGATCATCCATCAAAGATGGTTAGTAATAATTGGACCAGGTTTCATCAATCAATGTAAGTAAGTGCCAGACTTACATCAATTTCGATTTCGATTCTCTCCGCTCTTAAGTGCTCGGGGATGTAAAGGTAAAAGAAACAGAGAGTTCTCCCCGTTCAGAAAAAAAAATCAGAAGGACCCACTTGAATTGGATACACAGACAAGGAATTGAACCCCAATGCGCCGTTAACTTGCAGATCGCGAGCGCATCACCTCTGCTGGTGGACCATCCACTCTGGTGCCTTCTAGCTCTCCTCAATTGCCAGACACTAATACAAGTGAAACATCACTACCGTGTTTCCTACGGATATAACAAACTAACAAGAAGCTGCCAGCCGAGAGGAAAAACTCAAACATTTCACATCCACTGGGAATCAAACCTCAGTCCGCCCTTGATGCTGCACAAAACCTGGCGCTTACTGGAATTTTGTGCTCTGCTCCGACCCAGAGTTCAGACTACGAACGGTCCAATCGGTTGTGTTTGATCGATCGAATGATTGGTGAACCGTGAGTGAACATTGAATCAAGGCGGATGATTTCATTTCTTGAGGAAATCAGCTCATTCTTCTTCAGCGGATGGCACTTTGCCGACATTCTGAGTAAATTGCAAGGTTCGCCTGGCCTGGAACTCTCTCCCCGCCGGTTTGAATACAGTCTATACAAAATACCCCAGCCTCGAAGTCAACCCTGATCTGACAATCCTACCCACCCGCGGGCCGCTACTGCTGAGGTTAATTGACACCAACTTCCGATGTGCC